ATCCCAAAATAGTATGTATTGACTGTTTTTTCCCTAAGTCAGAGAATAGAAACAGGAAAACAATATAAAAGGCACTCAAAATTCCATATTCCAAGAGATAATCAGTGTCATTATTTGGTATACATTTCTTCTAATCATTTTTTGTTAAATAAATGTGAATTTAAATGAATATTAACCTTACTATATTACCCCGAGAAGCTCTGTATTTTAGGGTGGCATCTACTGCACAATTTACGGAAGGTCTCTTTTGGAATTGCCTAAGGGGCCGATTTTTAAGACAAATTTTATATACACCCTTTTTTCATATGAATTTAAAAGTAATAGATGCCTAGATAAAATAAAGACAGTGAATATAATTCTGTATTTATAGAAAAATAATTGTTTTTAAAAATCAGATCTTGTCATGCAAGATATAGTACTACTGATGTTTTGCTTTTTTCCATGTTTCTACCAGTCATATTTTGCTTTTGATATAAAAACTATTTCGTGTGTGTGTGTGTGTGTGTGTGTTTCATTAGGCTTAATGTGGATTGACTAGCTCTTTCCAAAATGTAAAGTCCATGCTATTGCTCTGTAATTTTTTGTGAAATTATAAAATGTTTTTCATAATGATATACATTAAGAATAGATTGCTTTTCAAGGTGACTACTTTCAAGCAATGTTAATTTGGTACATTTGTTAAAAAAATATATAGATACACATACATATAAGTGTATGACATTTTCAAAAATATATATTTATATACATTATATAATATTTTAAAGAAAAGATAAGTGTAAAATTATATAATCTACTGTCTAAATAGTAGCAGTTCTGCTGTCCAGGAAAGAAAATGCAGCCTCAGGAGAGCAACAGTCTAGGTCTCTGAACCATCTTTGCCAGGTTGAACTGAATGTTCATAAAACTAACAGTTGTAGAACATATTGAAAACCATCATTTGTGGTATGACTCCTCTCTGTGTACAGTTGATAGAAGGTAAAAATTCCTTCAAGTTCTTACAACTCCATCCTGTATCTGGAGTTTTCGCTGTCTATTCATTTCTACATTCACAGTGACCACCATTTTTGGTAGAGAGTGTAAAACCCTTAAATGTTAGTGTTTGCCCGGGGATTTGTTGGCAGCCTCCTTGTCTTGTTGTGACACCTTCTCCTGGGTGATTGCACGACCCCATCTTTGAACTGTTTGAGTGTTACACTCTTCCAAGAGTTCTCTTCTCTGCTGACCTGCAGGACCACCATGTTGTCCTGTGTCCTGCAGTTTTAAAATTCACAGGCATCTTGAGTCCACCATGTCTATAGCTGACTTGATCGACTTTTCCTGTAAAGGTGCTCCTTCCGAGTTTCCCTACACAGGTCAGTGGCATCGCTTTACGTGTCCTGGAGTTAATCTGATTCCTCTCTCTCCCTCCTTCCTCACAACCCATCTGCCAAACAGGTACATTTATTCTTCTCTTAAATGTTTCTAAAATTGCTCCTTCACCTTAATTCCTTCTTGCTTACAACAGCTTTCTTCTGGTCTTCCTTTTCTCTGGTCTTGTCTTCCATACTTCCTTCGAAATGGATTTTTCTATAGCGCACATCAGATTCCTCTTCTTCAGTGTCTTCCTCGTTGTCATCAGGATAACGTCTAATTTCCCCAGCATGTACCGCCTGGCCCTGTGTATTCCGGCCCTTGCCTGTCGGAGCCTCACCTCTTGCCACCCTCTACCAGATTTCATGTTTTTGTCACTGTGTTAGTTTTCTAGAGCTGAAACACACAAATATTACAGACTGGGAGGTTTAAACACAAACATTTATTTTTTCACAATTCTGAATGCGGGAAGTCCCAGAAGGTGGGGTTTCTCATGAGGCCTCTCTTCTTGGCTTGCAGAGAGCTGCCTTCTGGCTGTGTGTGCTTGTGGTCTTTCCTCTGTGTGTGCACATCCCTGGTCTCTCTCTGCACTCCGGTTTCCTCTTCTTACACGGACATCAGTCATATTAGATTCCTGCCCACCCTGGTGACCTCATCTGAACTTGATTACATCTGCAGAGATCCTATTTTCAAAGAAGGTGACATTCACAGGTACTAGGAATTAGGACTTCTAGGTATCTTCATGGGGGACACAGTTTAACCTCTACTAGCCAGTTATCCATGACTCATTTAAAACTCATTATTTTTACAATGAATGATTCTGTAGACAATCAGTGATTAAGTAGTAATTTTTACAAGTGCACAATATGAAAGATGTCTCCAAGGCTTTACACCTGAAATGAAAAATCTGGTGCAGACTGTTAAGCATTTTCAGAGAGCTATTTGGGGCCCTCTAATCAGAACAGCTGATGCCACCATATAACCCCAGTAAAACCCACTATACTCCAGAATATTATCCAGTATAAACTGTAAAATCTGCTGGACCTTGGTTTTTACACAGTGTGTAAAATAAGGGTGTTCGGGAAAATTTTAGTTTTGCTTTTAAATTTCTGTGCTTCATTGAGGTTTATATATGAAAGGAGGAGGATAAGAGCATGTAGATAATATGAAGAATAGTATCCATGCCATTTATCTGAAAACTGAAATAAATGAGCAGTTATTCTGCACTTCTGCTAACCTTACTAGATTATTTTTTCTTAGTTATTTCAGAAAATACATAATATTTTTTTACTATAGCTTCCTTAGGCAAACAAGAAAATTTTGAAGGTTACATTGCTCCATTCTAGAGTGGTCAGTAAACACACACAATTATCTTGCAACTTGTGCCCATCTTTTGAGTGGGAATGTGGCAGGCAAACACCTGAGAAAATAACATTCAATTGCATTTTTTATTTTTTTGCCTTCATCAATTTAGACCTAGGTTCTTCCTAATTAAGTCCCAAGTGTGAGACTTACCCTAGAGTTTGCTTTATATCAGCTACACTAGTTGACAAGTTAACAATCAAGTTAGTGATTATATAAATCTTCTGCATCAACAGGCTAGTATTAAAGATTGTTTCATTGGAAATTCTACAATATCATTATGTAAACAATTTCAAAGACATTTACCATTTGTCATAACACAAGTTTGCCAGCTGCTAGACTAAACGAAGTCGGAAAGCTTCAGAGGAAGGGTTTTTCTTCCAGAGAAATCGGGGATCTCTGGTCATAATTAGAATTTCAAAGTGAAGGAAACATCAGAATGCACGTTGACATTCACTTGCAAGAGAGCTCAGTGAACTTGCATTAGCAGTTAGGGATAAAGGAAGTACCATGCTTATTTACATTTGTTTTATTTAGTTCAATTTTCCATTCGTTGAGACTTACACTGTTGAAGAAGTAAAAGTTTACCCGAAAAATAAAACCAGTGCACACAGTCAGGAGGAAGAGGATCGACCGCCTGAAATTGCTTCAGAAAACAGTTTCCCTTGGAATGTAGATGGCGATTTAATGGAAGTTACATCAGAGGTCCACGTTAAGTAAGTCTAATTATTTCATGCCCTTATATGTCCACCAATAGACACAAAACAGTTTAATGGAAACCTTCTTCCTGTGACTATCAAAGCAAGCAGTTGGCTATCTATATTTTTGTTGTTGTTAATCTTCACCTCTGGATATTTTTTCCATTGATTGTTTTTAGAGAGAGAAACATCGATTGGTGACCTCCTGAAAGTGCTCCATCCAGGGCTGGGGATCAAACCTGCTGTCCCTTGGTCCTTGGGTCCATGCTCTAACCACTGAGTCAAACTGGCCAGGGCTAGATACATTTTTTAAATTGGTAGGATGAACAGATAAAGGTACAATTTTAATAAAATATGACTTCACATTTGTTCATCAATTGTTACGGAGAGTCAATGCATTTTCTTTGGTTTTAAGTCTATACTGGCTTTCCTAATTATTGTTTTTAATAAACTATACAGCTAATGCATGTCTACAATTTCTATTTTAAATTTTTTAAATAAGTCAAAAATTTAAACCTTGTGACACCATCTAAGTAGCAGATTATTACAATTTAATTCATTAGTCTTTTAAATTTTCCTTTCACCAATAATTAATACTATAACACTTCGTGTTCAACAGTTCGCTTCTATCAAGTACTTTCCAAAGCATTCAACGTACTTTACATATCATTTAAGTAACAAGAGCAACTGGTATAGACAGGTTTAGGAACATGCAGAATCATTCTTGGTAAGCTTTATGACTCAGTGGGTAGCCCAGGAAATGTGAGTTCCTATAGGCACAATTGACTGGATTTTACAAAAGCAATAGAGAATATTAGTCAAGAAAATCAGTTACGAGGCTTTATAGTAACTTCCAGCGCTGATTTATTAGACACCTGCCCCAGTTTTTCTAGATTTCTGTTCTGCCATGAATGAGTATGTTTTTGTTGGCTATCATTAGATTTTTATTTGGTATTTTGCACCATTATCAATTGGTGTATGTGTGAGAAGTAATAGAATGATAGGTGAATAAAATACTCAATTACATGTTATTTCATTCTTTACAGACTGCACCCAAGACTTATCAATCTCTATGGAGAAAGCATGGAAGAAATGAATGATTCCAAAGTAACATGTAATTGTTTGTAACAGAAATGTATGAACTAAAATTTTAATATGAAAGCATATCTATTTAAACATGACCATATCTCAACAGGAAAAACTTATTTTTTGATGTTGCTAAAAATTACCTTTGAGGGCTTTAAAAAAACCAAGATTTTAAATTCTGGTTTTGGGGTTTTGGGGGGGAACTAAAAGTAAACATTTTATATACTTAAGATTTAAACATCATGATATATGTATATTTAACCTAGATTATTCCATCAATTCTGTTGTTATTAAATGTCCTATAGCCTGGTACAGACAGACCACAGAGTTCATGTAAGAATGCCCTGATTTTCCTAACGAGGTACCTAATCCAGTGAGGTTAAATTTCAAAATTAAACAGCTAGATATAACCAGAAACAGAACTATTACTTTTCAAAATTTCTCCATTACCTAGACTGCTTGCCAAAAAAGGAGTCCTTTTTTTTTTTAAGTTGCTATAGTACCAATTTTGTAAATCTTTTTTGAAGTGGTAGAGTTTTAAAATTCATAATAAAGTTTATAATAAATTTTACATTAAATAATGCAGGATCTGACCCAATAGGGAGCTGTGTCCTTCTTGCTCCTCCAAAATTCATGTCTTCTGGCAATTATAACACATCGTTTTCAATAACACTTGAAATGCTGTCCTTTCTGAAGAGGAAAGAACCAAATTAAAATTTCCTCAGGGTTCACCCTTGAGAAAGAAATTCTAAATTTGGGTTTGATTTTCTACCAATGATTCTGGACATTCTCCTGAAATACATGGATTTTTATAACAAAAATAGCTCCTGCTAAAAAAAAAAAAGTGTACTTTAAAATATCATATAAATGTAATTTATACTGGCACAGCATTCAGGAGGCTTGTGACTGGGTTTCACTGCTCAACTGCCTTCACAAATCTCCATGCATCCCTCTGTCCCCACCAATCACAGACTGCAGGCTTGTGATGGATAACTTAGTAAAGACTGACTTCTAATTTATCTATTTGATCACAGCCTGTAGCAGATTTGGCCAGGCTTCTTTATATCCACAGATTTAGCCCATTTCAGATACAATTATATTCTACATTCAGCATCTAGTTCATATGCATGAATAAATATCACAAAAAGATTATATTTGCAAATGTAATGACACTTATAAATTACTTAAATTCCAGAAACTATTAGAAAAGAATAAGATAACCAGTAAAAATTTAAAATATTTCAATGATCACTAAAACATATCATGAAAATTTTGATGTTATATTCACTGGGTACAAGCTAAATATATACATTTATAGTTAAATTTCTGAATTTTGTTTTCTCATTTCCCTGTAGAAGAAAATGCTCTCACAGACCCGATGAAAAGACATTTGATACTTATATTGAGTAGAAAAGAAGAACATCCAGTTAGTATTTTACAGAGTAATTAGTGAGCAATATTTCCTGCTGATAATCATTATTTTTGCAAAGCTTTGATTTTTAAAAATTATTTGTGAGGTATAGTTTTCATATTTTACAGACATCAGTGTATTTATACTTCAAACATCAATTAAAGTGCAACAGTCACAATCTGCTTCAGAATATAAGTTACAATTAAGTATGATTGTTTTGTAAAAAAATTTTTTCTTTTTTGACTAATGATGGATTTTAAAAAGTTACTCTGCGGCACCCTTGAAAAGTTGTTACAAGAGGACTCATGGATTTATACCTATATGAATATATATACAGTGATACCTCGGTTCTCGAATGCCTCGGATTTCGACCAAATCGGTATTCGACCAGGAGATTCGAGAAACTTTTGTCTCGGAATCCGAACAAATATTTGGAACTCGAACTTCCGAGATGAGCCGAGTTGAGCCGAATGGCGTTCATTCGGCCCAGTGCGCCTTGCTTGCGTCCTCAGTATGAGTGCAGAGAGAGAGTCACGCTTTGTGGAGAGAGTCACGCTTTACACTGAATTTAACCCTTAGACATACTGTACACTTTTATGTCTTGTTGAGACTTATGTTTTTCTACATATTATATACAAATTAGGCCAGTAAATAGGCATTTTCTGGGGCTTGGAACGAATTAATCCAGTTTCCATTATTTCCTATTGGGTTTCATTGTTTCGGTTCTCGAACAATTTGGTTCTCGACCGTCCTCCTGGAACGAATTATGTTCGAGAACCGAGGTATCACTGTATATTGAAGTTAGGTATATACAGAAAGAAATCCGTAGCTGTATAAACAATTACCTAGAAGTCATCCTCCAGTGTATAAAAATTCAGTCTGAAGTTTGCTCTTCAGGCCCATAATAATCATCAAATGCTGAATGGTTGCTGATCAAACCCATAGGAAAAGTATTACAAGTAAAGGTCTTAAAGGTGAAATTTGCTTTAAAATGACAGTGGTCTTCCTTTATGCATTAGGAAATTTGGAAACAACTCTTTGAATAATTCTGCTAAAAGTCCAAGATTTCTCCAAGGGATTATTTATCTTGAATGTTTTAGTGTTTTCTATCCATTTAAGAACTGAAATAATATCTTTGGATGTATTGAATATTACCTTTGCAGTTATTTTGTCTTAAAGAGTATCATAGCTTGGATTTTTCATTTGCATTAACCTTGTGCCATATTGTGTCTTATGAGTAAAAGAAGTACTTGAAAGAACTCCGAGCTGAGCGAAGTTCATGGTTTCTTGTAAACGATGCCTTAAATTAGATACTTGAGTCTGTTCTCTCCATTTAAAAGGAGTCTTTAGTCATCATCATCATTGATTTTACTGGTAACATAATTCCAACTGTCTCTTCTGTTTTCTTCTTGTAGGATGGATTTGTACTGTCTTTTAAAGAAGCCAGCCTGAAAAAATTATTGCATAGTCACTAGTATGTAGTTACTACACTTGTATAAACTATCTAAATAGTCAACAACAGTTTCTGTGATTTGATAGACAATAAGTAAAACAATGTAGAACAAAACTAAGTTGAATGAAATGACATCGTATGAGGACCTGCTGTATTTCTTAAACTGTGTCCCATGGAGTCAGTAAAAATTAATTTGGACAATACTGAGTTAAAGAGAAAATTTTTTTAGATCACTGCAGGACTTAGTGATACATGTGTAAATTTTCTAAAATTGACATTTGACATAATGTGCAGTGTTTGTCAAAAGGAGTTATCTCTAAGCCCTGGCCAGTTTGGCTCAGCGGTTAGAGCATCAGCCTGTGGATCAGAGAGTCCCGGGTTTGGTTCCCACTAAGGGCACGTACCTCAGTTGCAGTTTGTCCCCAGCCCTGGTTGGAGTTGTGTGGGTGGCAACCACTCAATGTGTCTCTCTCACATCAATGTTTCTCTCTCTCTCTCTCCCTCTCTCCCTCTTACTCTATCTGAAGATAAATGCAAAAATGTTCTCGAGTGAGGATTTAGAAAAAAAGGAGTTATCTTTAAGATGGCATATTTTTCTCGAAGGACTTTTGTACTGAAGTAAGGAGAAATGGGATTCATCAGTACAGTATGTTCACTTGGGAAGGGTCGCACATTTAAGAAAATCAGGGATGGCATTTTGGGTGGTTTAACATTGATAATTAGTAAAAAAGACTTACCTTCCACATAATATATGAAATCAATAAAAATAAAATAAGTCCAAGTACCAAGCTACTTGAAATGATCACTATAGTGAAATGACGTTTGGGTCTTTGATGATGTAGTCCTTCAAGCCAAACCTACATAAATTAACCAAAATAAAGAACCACCAGTTAAAATGTGCTCTTACTTCCCCTCCATGCCCCTAGTAGTATTTCGAACAACCCATCCCGTTCTCTTGATGGTTAGAACATAACCATAGGAAACTCTGGTAGCTGTTTAGCAGAAATAGTAAGCACGATGGGCTTCTGTGGTTCTTCCTCCAGTCTATCCTACCATATTCACCCCCTAAGAAAACACATTCCCTCTTTCCAGTTGTGAAAAATACCAACTCTCAGTAAAGTATTTCAAGCCTTCCATTGATTTGGTCAAAATCTATTTTCCTGACTAAACACCCTAGCAATGCTCTCTTTCCTACAATCTTACAGTTTAAAAAGGTGACCTTACATATGCCACGTTCTCATCCTTGTTGAGTTCAATCACTTTCGGATTTGGCTCTGAAAAAGCTGTTGCTCTGACTTCAAACTTGAGTGCTGAGGTCTCATCCTGTTTAACAAAGGAAGATCACTGTAGCCTGATTCATAATTTCATTTCATGAAGACATTCACAGAACTAATTTCTCATGATCCTTATGTAAATTTTCACAATTTATCTTCCCCAGTTTATTTCACCATCTGTAACTGATTGCAATGCAACGCTTCCTTTGTTTCTAAAGATATGGGCTTCATCTTAATTTATATGGCATCATTTTGTTGAGGTCCTTTTGTTAAACACAGCTACTTTTATTTATAATATCTAAATACTATTTGTTAGTTAGCAGAGTATTTTTCCCTAGGTATTGAAGTTTTATCCCCAAACAAGACTCCCCCCACCTGATAAATCTTTCCTAATATTCATTTTACTTGGGCTTCTTTCCAAGTAGTATTGTCATCTTACTGCTCTGATCAAATACATATAGTGTACCTAATACTGTAATGGAAAAACCTGGTACAAATAAGTTATAGTATTCAAATATAAAATCAGTAGATAAACTCGGAGCTTTACTGTCTAATGTAGAGACTTTATAACCCAGAATCCACACATACTAAGGACTTATAAAATTGTATGCAAAATTGAGTGTATTCATTGGGGGTGGATGAGAATATATACATATATATATATTTTAATTAATTAATTTTCGTTACAGATGTTTTTCCTTTTCTCCCATTGACACCCTCCTCCTGACCCCCTCCCCCCCACCCCATCTCCAGCATTGTTGTCTATGTCCATAGTTATGCATGCATGCATATAAGTTCTATGGTTTATCTCTTCCCTTCCCCCGGCCCCCTCTTCTGAGGTTCGTCAGTCTGCACCCCACTTCCATGTCTCTGGGTCTATTTTGTTCCTCAGCTTGTCTTGTTCATTATATTCAACAAATGAGTGAGATTGTGTGATAATTGTCTTTCTCTGACTAGCTTATTTAGCTTTGCATAATACTCTGCAGGTTCCTCCATGTCGTCTCAAAGGATACGAAATCTTTCTTTGTTACAGCTGTATAGTACTCCATTATGTATATGTACTACCACTTTTTTTATCTACTCATTTACTAATGGACATTTGGGCTGTTTCCAGATCTTAGCAATTGTAAATAGTGCTTCTATGAACACAGGGGTACATATATTCTTTCTGATTGTGTTTCAGGCTTCTTAGGGTATATTCCTAGAAGTGGGATCACTGGATCAAATGGCAGATCAATTTTTAATTTTTTGAGGAAACACAACATTGTTTTCCATAGTGGCTGCACCAGTCTACATTCCCACCAGCAGTGTACTAGAGTCCCCTTTTCTCCACAACCTCGCCAACACTTGTTTGATGATTTGTTGATGGCGGCCATTCTGGCAGGTGTGAGGTGATACCTCATAGTCGTTTTAATTTTCATCTCTCTGAGGATGAGTGATGTTGAGCATTTTTTCATATGTCTCTTGGCCATTTGTATGTCCTGTTTGGAGAGGTGTATATTTAGGTCCTCTCCCCAATTTTCAAATGGGTTCTTTGTCTTCCTTTTGTTGAGTTGTTATGAGTACTCTATTTATATTGGAAATTAGCCCCTTATCTGATGTATCGGCAATTATGCTCTTCTATACGGTGGGTTCCCTTTCTATTTTGATGCTGGTTCCTTTTGCTGTGCAGAAGCTTTTAGTTTGATATAGTCCCATGTGTTCATTATTGCCTTAGGCATAGTATCAGTGAAAATTCTGCTGCGTGTGATGTCTAAAATTGTGTTGCCTGCATTTTCTTCTAGGATTTTTATGAATTCATGGGTTACATTTAAATTTTTTATTCATTTTGAGTTTATTCTTGTGTATGGTGTAAGTTGGTGGTCTAGCTTCATTTTTTTGCATGTAGCTGTCCAATTTTCCCCAACACCATTTTATTGTAGAGGCTGTCTTTACTCCACTGTTTGCTCTTGCCACCTTTGTCAAATATTAACTGAGCATATGACTTGGCTCAATTTCTGGGTTCTCTGTTCAGTTCTATTGATATATATGCCTGTTCTTGTACCAGTACCAGGCTGTTTTCATTACAATGGCTTTGTAGTATACCTGATATCTGGAATTTTGATCCCTCCTACTTTGTTCTTTTTCAAGATTGCTGTGGCTATTCGGGGTCTTTTTTGGTTCCATATAAACTTTTGGAGTATTTGGTCTAGTTCTGTGAAATATGTCATTGGTATTTTATTGGGGATTGTATTCAATCTATAGATTGCTTTGGGTGATATGGACATTTTAATGATGTTAATTCTTCCAATCCATGAACAAGGTATGTGCTTCCATTTTTTTATATCTTCCTCTATTTCTTTTTTCAGTGACCTGTAGTTTTCTGTGAATAGGTCCTTTACTTCTTTGATTAAGTTTATTCCTAGGTATCTTAATTGTTTTGCCACAATAGCAAATGGGGTTGCTTTTTTAGTTTCTTTTTCATTGAGTTTGTTATTGCTGTACAAGAAAGCCATCAATTTCTTGACATTAATTTTGTATCCTGCTACTTTGCCAAACTCATTTATTAAATCTAGTAGATTTTTTATGGAGTCTTTAGGGTTTCCTATGTATAGTATCATGTCATCTGTGAATAATGACAGTTTCACTTCCTCCTTTCCAATTTGGATTCCTTTTATGTTTTCTTCATGTCTAATAGTTGTGGCTAAGACTTCCAGTACTATATGAAATAAGAGTGGTGAGAGTGGGCATCCCTGTCTGGTTCCTAAGAATATATTCTTGAATTGGGTTCGTCAGGAAGTCCTAAAATTTTTTTTTTACCTCAGTGTTTCCAAGTTCATTTCCTTAAAAAATTTTTGTTTCTTATTTTTGATACATTTTGATGTTTTAATTTAATTTCTTAAATATTAGATCTTAAGCATCATTTGAAATAGTTCAGAAAGAACTTTAAAGTTATACAAAATGGTAAGATAGCCAATTTCTTGATTTAATCAAGGTTCATAAGCAGTTAAACATGCTTCCTAAAATAAACCTCTTAATTATTCCATAGTCTATTTTTGTTTGTTTTTATTAATCCTCACCAGAGGATATTTTTTTTCCATATTTAGGGAAGGGGACAGTGAGAGACAGTCACATGGATTGGTTGTCTCCGGTATGTGCCCTTGACTAGAATTTGATCGCATGACCTTTGGGTGCACGGGTTGACTCTCTAACCACTAAGCAACACCGGCCAGGGCTATTTTAGAATTTGAAGTACCCGTTTAATTACTAAAGCCATGTCATTGAGACAAAGTAGTCAGCTAAAGTAATAAAACAGTTTTAAAGTTTCACTCTAAAGTTTATTTTTATTAATACCTGCTTAATTTATTAAATGCTTCCCAGCATACTATCCTATTTACATAGTTTGCAGACTCTGTATGAGCGTGTCCACAAAGCGGTCACTGTATATTAGACATACCATTTCTAAGAGGGATGGCCGGCCTTCCACCTGAATGTGAACACTGGCTTCTTTTCCACTTTCCATTTTCCCAAAATTGCATAAGAACCTTAAACACTGTGGATCAGCTTTTGTGCAGTACTTGAAAAGAATACAAAAAAGCTACATTAAAATTTCAACTTAAAAAAAATTTTTTTTTCTTTGATTTTAGAAAGAGAGAGAACATAGATTGGCTACCTCCTGCCTGCCTCCCACTGGGGATCGGGCCCATAACCTAGGCATGTGCCCTGACCAGGAATCAAACCGGTGACCTCTTGGTGCATGGGTTGACACTCAACCACTCAGCCACACCAGCTGGGTTAAAATTTCAACATTTTTAAAAGAGACACCCAAAATATTTCACACAGAATTAAGTCTGCTCTTGTTAGTGGCATTAAATAAAACACATTTATTTTAAAAATTACAACAAGAACAAAGTATTTGAATTGAAACATGTGTTCTATGAACTTAACTTCTGGGACAGACTTAAAAGAAAGACTCCTAATCAGAATATTGCTAAGTTGGATGTTCTATGTATATTGTAAAACTTGGATAATTTGAAGGGTAAGATTGTTTCCCCAGTTTTGTTTTTTTTCCCCCCCAGTAAATTCACTAAAATAAAAAGGGTCCAAATTAATCTCATTTCACAAAGGCTGCTCAGCTAACAAGGGCATGGAGAAATGTCTGGCTGGCACAGAAGGGACATTTATTAGATAAATAATGAAAATGTATGTGTTTAACCATGAGTCTATCTCAAATTTCCAATTATGTCTGTTCCTCACATGCAAGAATATTACCCGAACTTGTTTCTCTCCCATGCTCAACTGACAGCTCAAATCCATCGATACTTGCTTTTAAGTGTTTCAGATCTGAATGCTGGAAAACAAAACTACCATGAAAAATGGAAACTTACCAATAGCCTCTTATCAGTCTTCGACAAGAATGTAAATATGTCGCTCAGGGCCTCCATTGTGCCTTTTTTCTGCTCTGATGTACACACTCTTTGATAATTTGTAAAATGGCATTCCCCTGTAGTAGTCTATAAAGATAGAAAGCAAGAAAAATATTGATTAAATATTAGAGAGAACAAACGTTACATGGTTTTAAAAGTTCCTATTGCTTGTTTACACTTTCTAAAATATATCAAGTACTTCTGAAAGTGTGAAAATATTTTTGACAGATTCATTTGGAGAGATTAAATCTCTGCAACAAAAACTCAGCAATATTTTAGAGGTTTGGATATACGCCCTAAACTGATCAACTGGCCTTAACCTTACAGGAATGAGGGCAGTGTGGAAAATGCACATTTGAACATTAGCATGGAATTCAACATTTCTTGGGCTTCAGACACAAAACGATGTGTTATATAACACCACGTCCTACCATCTAAATGTGGAATTCAAGTAAGATTTTTAAAAATTAGGTCTCAAAAAACCTACTGAGTAGCTTTATTGATTGATTTTGGAAGAGTAAAAGCAATTCTGATGGAATCATCAACATAAGAATATTTATTCTTAAATAGTGATTTGAATATTCTTTCTTTAAAAAGGGCTGAAATACTAACTTCTTTCCCCTCAACAGTGATCTCAAGTTTTACGGGGAATTCTGCCAATTAAGTTACTTCCACAGGTCCATATCACAGAGAGAATGTACTGAAGACAGAATTCTGTTACTGTATCAGTCAAGCGCAGAGGTTCCGCTGGAATCCTCCAGTTCTAATGCAATGTAGCATATTCAAGGTGCATTCAGTGAAGGCAAGGTGAAGTCATAGCTGAGAGTAAGTGTGACTGAAGTGAGTAAACACACATCTCCATTTCAGCAGTATTACTTACAAGAGAAGAAGGGACACATTTTTACCTGGACATCCAAAACGTTGAACAACTTATCAGTTTGGGGGATAAAAGAATTCGGTAGCATTATCTCCAGGCTAGCATTTGGAGCCATGCTATGGCCAGTGTTGATAACCTGATAAGAAGTGGAAAAAATTTTAAACTTTTAAATGTTTCCATAAATGTAAGTACAGATGTAAATGAGCCTTTAGGTGAACTCGCATGCTTCGTGCAACATTTATAGCGGTGGAGGTCTGTAGTTGGCAGCTACACAGCAAAGGGAGACAGAATATTTATATTGAGAACTTTAAAAAGTTTGCTAATAATTAAGACCTTTGGTCATTATTCCCAGCTCTCTCCTCTTGTTATTAATGGAATAAAAATATCCTGGCAAGTGTTTTACTGTAGAAACAGTCTAAAGAAAGAGACATTAGCAATACATTTTGGTATGCACATTATATATCTAAAAAGCCACCATCAGTTGGTCCTCATAATTATCCCATGAGGTGGTACAACATGTAATTATTTGCCAGCTCAAAAAAATGCTAAGAGGTATTAGTCAATGATGTGCCCAAGATAAAAGTGACAAAAATTGGGACAAAACCCAGGTATTCCAATAACATATTCATACTCGGAAAGACTCACCAAACCTACAAGACCATTTCTTGGGACTTCAAAATAGAGGGCTAAATTTTTTCAATACTACTATATGCTAGTGTCACAAAAACTTGAATATACATAGACTCAACAGGATTTCAAGGTCGTTCTTCTTCACAGATCTAGGGTAGAGCCCAGGGATGTGCATTTTGGATAAGCATCCCAAGTGATTCTGATATACGTTTCGAAAAGCATTGGCTTACAAAATATCATAATGTACCTAAATCTGGACCCACACTACATAGATTGTTATCAAGCTCTAAGAATATTTGGTCAGTGCTTTTGGTTAAAAAAATACTTTTGTGGACATTATCTCCAATTAGTTACTAATCATCAATATCCATCATGCACCAACACTCTCAGTTAATAGTAAAAGATTTTTAATTTGTCTTTATAGTTTTATATTAATATTTCTGAATAACGACACTACTCTTTACTTTTAAAAAACAGTATTGAATAAATGATACATCACTGGCCACAGGTCATATTCCTATAACCTGAAAGGCTGGCTAAACAGACCTTAAATGGCGATACGGGAGGTAAGAGCTGACTTACTTGGTCATTCAGCCTGAAGAGTCACTGATTTGCACCTAACCAAGCCTACCCTTGGCCCATCCTGTCTTCCGGAGGCATCTCGAGCAGAGTCTCTTCCCCTCGTCACTTGCTAGTTTCAGGCATTCCCTCTCTTCCTACTTGCTCTTTCTCACCTACACTGTAAGGAGATGTGGGCTTGAATAGCAGGGACAGGAGCAAAGGCCTGGCAGCCTGAGAGGAAAGGGTATGGGTAGCCTGGGGCAGCTCCTTCCTAACTCAGCAGGCTGTGCTGGCCCCAGGCTGAGGGACACCGCAGGTACATGAGAGGTGAGCAATGCAGCAGAAACACTCTCTCAGCTTGTTACAAATAACAACACGATCAACTTTTCTTACGTGGAAAGTGAAGTTCATTTTCTCTGGCATACACATTTCAGGCTCGTAGTCCTCCATTGATCCATACATAAATGAAGTTGGGTTTACAAACCTGACAGAAACAAATTCAAATTAAATTTGCCTTTTTTTTCTTCTTCTCAGCATTACAATCTTCTCCATTTCCTTGCAAAGTGAATACAGGCATGTCCTAGGTGCTGGGTGGTGCCAGGCGCAAGGATATCAATACTCATAAGACACATAGTCCCACTCGAGATTCGTGCGGTCTACTTGAACGTTCATGGTCTTTTCTGATGAGGTATTATAAACAGTCTTTCTCCACACTCTGGATTATAGCATATCTCTTAAATATGCTCTTCAGTCAGTGGGTACCTCCTTAAGCACAACTGAACACTTTGGTTTCTTGGTAAGATAATTTTAGTCAAAATATAATGAAATTAATTAGAAAGCCATGTGCTCCGACTTGGGTGACAATATCTTTGTCCACCAATATCCTTTGCTTTCCATCACTGCCTGGCTCATTCTACTGATTTATGTGAATCTGGTAAATATGAGATACAATCATAGGATTCCCCTGTGACTCCAATATCCTCCTATACCTCAATCTATCATACCTTTTTTTTTTTTTTTTTAATCCTTACCCGACGATATTCTTTCATTTATCTTCAGATAGAGGAGGAGGAGGGAAGGAGAGAGAGAAAAACATCAATTTGACAGAGACACATTGATTAGTTGCCTCCGGCACAACCCTGACCAGGGCCGAGGACTGAACCGAAACTGAGGTACATGCCCTTGCCTGGAAACGAACCCGTGACTCCTTGGTCCGAGCACCAATGCTCCAACCACTGACTAAGACTGGCCAGGGCCTCACCTACTTTTGAGTTATTTTTTCCCATCCTGTAATTCCTGCTGGCTTGCTTTGTAGTGAACCCCAGATCTGGGGAACAATTCAAATGCCAGTAGGTACGGTACAATTTTTGTTAGAACACAAAGTTATTCATTCACCTGAGATTATACATGTGATCAGTAATGAACTTTAAGAAATACTTTTCTAGGGAAATCCTGACTCCGCAAATCACTCATATTTGGCAGCTGAAATGAGGTAATACAAATTAGGGAACCATTGCACAGGAAAGAAGTTAGAAATGTTCACATGTAGACCACACAGCTGAACAGTGGCAGAGCACCCCTAGGTCAAAATAAGATGTGGATAATAAAAAAAAGGGAGGATACTCTTCATAGGAAAACGAAGGAGGGCAGGCAAGACAACATTCAAAACCAGGAAACACCCAATGGCTTTTCTTTGCTTCTGCCTTTCTAGGTCCTCATCTCCCCTGAACGGCTGCCTTTACCCCCTGCTTTTTATATCTCACAAACTCGACACTCTATTTCATCAGTTTTCAGACACTGATATTTTATTTTTATACAATTAGATGCTATCTTTATGGGTGGTTATAAACTACTGGGGATGGTTTATAGTTAGAGCAACAAGGAAAGCTCATTTGTCTATTCTATATTTATCTTTGATTGCTTTGAAAATGTGTTTTTAGCCCTGGCTGGTTTTGTTCAGTGGTTAGAGCATCGGCCTGCAGACCGAAGGGTCATGGGTTTAATTCTTGGTGGAGGGCACTACCTGGGTTGCAGGTTCCATCCCCGGCCTGGTCGGGGCCACGCAGGAGGCAACCAATCGAAGTGTCTCTCTCACGTCGATGTTTCTCTTTCCCTCCCTCCCTTCCATTCTATCTAAAAATCAGTGGAAACATATCCAAAAATCAGTGGGAACAACAACAAAAAAGTTTTTTTACACAAATATTAATAGCCTAAATGATTTCCAATAAAACCATTAGAGGTTTTCTTAATACTCTTTCCCTCCTTCGCCACACATGTTCTCCTTGAATCAGAGTCGGAGCCACGTAAGCAATTACGAAAATTCTGTCGGGGCCAATACTGGGGCTGTGGGTGAGGAGTTCTGCGATTCATCGGGACGCCCTGCAGCCGGAGCTCTCGTCTCTCAGTCCACTTGTCACGTGGGTGGACACAGGTTTTACAGTGGTGATTTGGTCAAACTCGTAATTCTTTAAGCTTCGCATTTGCCACGAGCGCTGAGAATGATCAAGCAAATTGTGCACTGCCCAACCCCCGGGCCCTGGCCGTGCTGGGCACAGCTGGAAGGCCAGCCCTGGCCCCTCGAGGCTCCTCCAGTGAGAAATCTCCTCCAGCTGAGCACTGGTCTGATGTGGTCTCAGTGACAACGACAGGATGGATTAAAAGAACGAACAGCTGGGCAGGGGGCTGCAATGCCGAGGTCATTGTTAAGAGAAACAGCACAGAATCTTAACAAAAGTTTTAAGTATGGTTTTGACTAATAACGTATGCAGCCACGGAATTTAAAATCAGCTCTCGACGTCAGAGGACGCCACAGTATCTGCTCACCCGTGAACAGTTAGCATGACTTCGTACTTCAGAGGTATTGCTAACGTCACTTTGTTGCGTTTCAGATGGCCCATCTCCCCTTCATTTTCACTATAGAAGCAAATGGAAAACACCCTGTTAGAATCCATGCAACAAAAAAATCATCTTTGGAGAGAGCTAATTATATACCACGTAAACCTAATAAACAGAGGTTGGTTAAACAATGCTTTTCAGGCCCTGGCCGGTGTGGCTCAACGGTTAGAGAGAAAGTCTGCGAGCTCACTGGAGGGATGTGGGTTTGATTCCTGGTCAAGGGCGCATACTTGGGTTTCAGGTTCGATCCCTGGCATCCCGGTGGAGGCTCGTGCAGGAGGCAACCAATTGATGTGTCTCTCTCATATCAATGTTTCTCTCTCTTTCCTAGGTACCCACTTCCCTTCCACTCTCTCTAAAAAAAATCGATGGAAAAAATATCCTCAGGTGAAAATTAACCAAAAAACAAACAAACAAACAAACAAACAAAAACCCAGCCTTTCAGGGAGTGGGGATAAAAGTGAATGGGCTAGTAAGAAATTTTTATGACAGGGTTGGCAGAAATTTGCTCTCATGATTTGCACTGTTACTTTCTTCTGTGCTGGTTAAAGGTTTGTTTGTTTCTTAGATCATGTAAGAGAAGTTTTCTTCTATAGACAACGGAACACACTTTTTGGTTTGCCTAAGGCCCTCCTCCCAAAGTGCCTTTAGCACAGGTATTTTCCGCAGAGGGACACACCAGGCGGCATGCACTGTGATGTTCAGGTCCTCTTCTGCTTGGCTGAGTGAGCTCGCGTCCAGGAGAAAGCTAACGTCCACCTGCAAAACACAGCGCAGGAGAGCGCGTTGAAAAAATAACTGAATACACTTTTTATCATCTGAATGTTAATTTTTCTTAGTAGTTTATACCCTGTAGGATCCAGATTTGAAACGCTGTTCTAGAAATATAGGCTACCCCTCACTCGAGCAGCGAGCTACAGGGAAGCTGTTGGGTATGTGCCGATTTTAAAGCACCAGCATTTCCACAAGTGACATTCAGAGACAAAGCTCCTTTGACTGTAAAGACAGGCAGGCCCAGGCTGACAGAATTAGAGGTGCTTTAACAACTTGAGTGGGGACTCTTGCCAAAACACCTTTTTGTACAGCAGAGGTAACATGCCTGGCAGACAGGACCACCTGTGGCGGGGTGGGGGGAGTGTTGGGGAAGGGTGACACTGGGGAGAATTCTGATTGACATATTCACCTGCCCATCTTGACAAAACATGTGCGCACCCCCCTTTATATAGTGAACACTGCCAAGAATATAAACACAAGCTCAAAGATCTCAAGCCCAGCTGGTTTCGGTTTATTTATCACTTAGCTATGCACCCTAAGCAATAAAATAAATAAAATAAAATAAAATAAAATAAAATAAAATAAAAAAATAAAAATTTGTATGCAGCAAAAGCTTAAGAGAAACAGAAACATTTTATATTCATCCTAGTAAACAAAACTGATAAATGTTAAAACGCTTACCCTTGAGAGATAATCTACATATATGTAACCAACATTGCAGTCAAGTTGGACTAGGCCGGAGCTGTCTGTGACTTCACAGTTTATCTGCTTGTCTTCCTAAAAAAATGTTTAAAAACAAATCAGTTGGTTTAGGTAGAAAAGGGAACAATAAGTTTGTCACTCATGTTTAAGAATGGTTTTGGGGGAAAAAAATCATTCCCAAATAATTTACTTTTCTAGATAACTATTTTTAGAATAAATAACAATACAAATAAATGGTATAAATATGTATAGATGTGTATAGGTTTATTTTAATAGTCATGTGAATTTCCCACAGAATAATGCCTGGACTTGTGTATCCCCCATTCAATTCAAGATCCAGTTCCTTGCAAAACCACGAGGCAAGGAATTCAGAAGGTCTGTGTTTCACACCCCTCTTCTGTGTGGGATGTGAGAACATGTTTAAGGGGTATAATTGCAGTAACTAGAATCACAATCGTATATATACACACACATATGTATTCATCTATTTCAGGGAAATATACAGCTCTGTGTGTATAGATATGTATTTCCCTATTTGAGTTTTTCCTCTTACTAGTGCAAATAGGTTCTCAATGCTTTAGAGAAAGGGGCTAATAGATATTTTTGAGAGGTCAAAGGCCTCTCTACATGCCTTTAATGTGAGGAAGTGGTCCCTGGATAAGATCTGGGTAAATTTGCTAAGGAATAGAGAAGCATCAAAGGAGAAAAACATTGAGGCTTTTGTCTTTGAAATTCAACCTTATTCATATTTCACTGGTAGATTGAAGGGCTCAGGCCTGAGGCACAGAGGTAAGAAATGGTCTCCAGTTGCTTCAGACTCTTCCAGGGAAGGAGAAACTTGCCTACAATCTGGTTGACACCAGAGGTTTGGTTTTGTGGCATATTGAGGTCCTTTGGGTACAGGACTGGGTTTGTGAACTTTGAATGCAGAGCGGTAACTCCAGGAGTCCAGCAAGGAGGGCCCGAAGAGCGTGTGCAGGCACCCAGCCAAGAGCAGCAGCACCAAGCACCAGAAGGATGGGCTGGTGAGAAAGGCCATGGCAGCCACGCAGCTTGCGTGAATAGCTGGACAACTGTTTCTTGGAAGTAGGAAGCTGACTCTTTTTATCTCAGTCAGATCCCAAGGAACTTGTCGTTTTTATCAGGGGCACGGAAAAGTCTTAAAATCGCCAGAATCCCAAGTGATAAATCTAAAGAAACCCCAGATATTTAGACCTCAAATTGATGAAGTGAATAAAACCACTTAATATTTTAAATTAAGTGAAATATCACGTAGTGTCATGCCGTTGAGGTTTTCAGCACTTACCAGATCTACAATCTTAATGAGGTAAAGACCAGTGGGTAGTCTGATATGCAGAGTTGTGTCATATGCATCATCTCCAGCATTAAACAAGGACACATTCAACAGGAATGTCTTCATACTTCCAACAGTGAGATAGGTTTTATTTTCATGTGGCCTGGAAATGAAGTAATATTATACAGTTCTTATTTGGGAAAGAAAAATCCCATCTCTTCATTTATTTATCCCAAACATAAAATATTAATTTGGAAAAACAACCAGAAGGAAATGACCACATGCAAGTAAATGCAAATCTATTTTAAAAAGAACTCAATTTCCCATAGTTCAAATAAATTTGGTCATCTACTACCCAAGAAAAGTTTCTAAATTAGTTAAAATTAAACTAGTTTGCTTTGTGTTATACTTCTTCTCTGCTTAACTTCTTTGTTTTCCAGGGAAAGAAAATATTTTATTCTTTGTTGTATGTACCACAAGAAATATTTTGTTTCTTTTTTCTGCTTAACTTCTTGCTTCTATAATTTTAACATATTTTCCTCATTTTAGGCAATATAGTTCTAGAAGCAAATTATTTTCCCCCTCTTTCTTTATTCTTGAATGGACATTGAATTACCTGCTCCCCAACCCAAAGGAGGGAAAGGGGGGTAATTGGAAGAAAAGGAGAACAAAGAGTATGAGCATGGCATGAGAAATGACTGCTATTCCCAGCAAGTGAGTCCAACTAAAATCTGTTCGAGTAGAATTCATTTCATAACACAGGCTGATCAGCTCTATCAGTAACGAGAGCAAATGAACAGCATTGCAGAAACCCTTCACTGTGCTGTGAACTGGAAAGAGAAGACTGCTGCAAATCTAGACACATGAGTGAGATCAAGTTCTGGGAGCGGGGTGTTCTTTACCAGTTTTAAGCCTCAGTCACCTCATCTGTAATAACAACTACTATGCAGTGAAGATTGGGGTCACGTGCATTCCATGGAATCCTCAGAACAACACATTTATATATGAGAAAACTTAAGGCGTAAGGAACTTACTCAAGGTCTCTCGCAGCTAGAATGTTCTCAAGTCTCAAAGCAAATGCAAATCTCTTTGCCTGCACAACCCATTCTCTTCACCAATGAAAGGGAAATGCTAAAGAAAACTTCTATTGCAGCATGATTCTGTAAGCTTTCCTCAAGGACAGAGGCTCATGGATATCCAAGAATTTAGGGAAAGTAGTTTACCCAGAGAAGGATGTGACCCAAAGCAAACCATCAGATGAGAATAATCATAACTATACAGAAGGTAAACAAAACATTCACATAGCACTTTAGAGTTTAGAAAGTTTCTTTAATAATATTTACATTGTACCATTCTAATCAACACCCATATAGAAGATTAATGTTTGAATAAGCTATTTCTGAAAATGCTAAACACATAGTAGGCATTTAATAGTTATTCATAAACTAATTTAAGACAACGGGTATTTAAGGACAAAATTTAAGAGCAAGTTTCAAAATTTATGTTTTTAAGTATTCCTTGAGGATTCATGAATTATAGAATGAGTATAGACAGATCCTATGTAATAAATCAGGTACTGTGATCATGACTCCCTGACACAAAAAGGTTTTTTTCTATAAACCCCACCTTTGTAGAGCTTGCATGGTAAAGCTTTATACACACATGCAAATATAAATACATGGGGAAGAGATGAGTGAAGGGCTCTGCGAACCCAGGGCAGGGAATCATTTGTGCCTGGGAGCAGTACAAGCCTGTTGCTTCTTGCTTTTCTACCAATTCTGATCATTTAGGTTGAATTGAATGAAGAGGTAAAAAATTCTCTTTAGCCCTGACCAGATAGCTTAGTTGGTTAGAGTGTCATCCTGATACGACAAGGTTGTGGGTTCGATCCCCAGTCAGGGCACATACATACAAGAATCAACCAATGAATGCATAAATAAATGAAAAAAACAAATCAATGTTTCTTTTTCTCTCTCTCATACCCTTCCTCTCTCAATCAATCAATAAATTTTTAAATAAAAAAGATCTGATTTCATTCTTTTCTGTATGAAATATCAGGGGATCACTTTGTCAATTATGATTGTATAACCACTATGCTGCACACCTGAAATGAATATAACATAATATTGATGTCAACAGTAATCAAAGAATAAAATAAAAGGTCTGAAAATTTCACAATTGAACCTTAATTTAAATTACACCCTTAATTGATATCTCAAGTCCTCCTTCTCCAGTGCAATTTCACACAACCAAAGAGGGTCACGTTCTAGAAAGCAAATTTGATAATGTCACATACCTGCTTCATATCTTTCTGTGCCTTCAAGACAGAGTTCCAACTCATTAGCATGGCCTTCAAGGGCTGGCCCATGACTTGCTTTCCAATGCACTACTCATTTCTTTGTCTTAGCCATACTTATCAACAAAGAGTTGTCCAAACACACCATGCTGTTTTGTATTATTTTAAGCTATCCCTCTACTTTTCACATCTTCCCTCTTCATGCACCTGGCTAACTGCAGGTCTTAGGAGTTCTTTTAGCAAATCCTCATTGCTAACCCCCTTCACCCAGCATTCCCCTTAACAGAAGTGAGGGGTCACTCCTCTCTTACCCAAAACACACCAGGCAATATTTTCATACTGTCTGGTTTTTCTTATCATTAGACTAACTTCTCCTGGAGAGATGTTGATTCATGATTATCCTGTTTTTTTCAGACCTTATTGACACAGTTAGTGTTAAAAAGAAAGTGTTATGTGCTACATACATTAAAACATTTAAGTTTTTAATTTTTAAAAAATATGTCTTTATTAATTTTTTTTAGAGAGGGAAGGGAGAGAGAGAATGAAACATTGATGTGAGAAAGAAACATTGATCGGCTGCCTGTTGCATGCCTCCCACTGGGGACAGAGCCCACAACTGGGGAATGTGCCCTGACCGGAAATCGAACTGGGACCTCTCAGTCCATGGGACGACGCTCAATCCACTGAGCCACACCGGCCAGACATACTGAAACATTTTTAAAAGCTGAGAAAAACTAAGGGAACACAGCAGAAAAATTGGGGAAAATCACTGGATAAGTGATGGTTAAAAGTTCATGAACTCATTATACACTCTATCAAATTATAGCAATGTTTATTTGTTCTTAGTGTTAAAGAAATTGCAAATGTTTCATTAAGATAAGAAAGTAAACATCATCTACGACTACCCCATTCATGTGACCAGTACTCTGCCTACACAACCTAATATTTTAGTGGTAATATAACTACTGAACTGAGCGAGAAATTAATGGCGACATCTGTACTGGAGAGTGTATAGTTTTGAGAAGTAAATTATTTATTATGAACCTCAGAATGAAAACAAAATTATTATAATTTTGAGCACTTTACTCCACTTTTATACCTTTTATAATATAACTCTAAGAAACTGAACAGTTCTCTTAATACCTCAAAATTATTCCCCTCTTATCTTGATTATTTCCATTTTAAACTTACTTATCAAGGTAGATCTCACACACACAGAAAAATGCACATATCCCATGAATATTTACAAACTGAGTACATGCATGAAACCAGCACCCAGATCAAGAAGAAGGTATTACCAGCACCACAGAAATATTCCTGTGCCCACTTCCTTCCAGTTACTGTCCCCACCTACACTGGCTTTGCCCACTTTTATATGTCATATCAGTGAACTCAGAGTATGTAATCTTTCTTTACTCAAAATGTAAATAATCAGGCGTTCTTTACTCAAAATTCTGTTTGTAAAATTAATCTACATTGGTGCATGTACTTGTAAATTGTTTATCCTCATTGGTGTATATATTCCACAACATTTATCCATTCACATTGTATTTATTCACTCAACTATTATTGACAATTTCTAGTTTGACTCTATTATAGTCTTTTGGTGAACATATATATGTAATTCTGTTGGGCCTATCTATAAGCAGACCCCTATGGTTTTAATCCAGAATTAATTCCTTAAAATCACTAAATCTTGGCTTATTTAAGCAACTAGCTTAAATTATACTAACAAATTGTATTTAAATGACAAAATATACCATTAGGAACTATATTTAAATAACCAAATATAAAGATGACCACAGAATTGTCATAGAAAAAGCAGGCATTCTATAGAGTAGGGATCCAAAATCTGCTGCCTGAAGGCCCAGTTCGAAACTGCCTGGTTTTGTAAATAAAGGCTTAGTGGGACGCAGCCTGCTCATTCACCTGTGGCCCCTTCTGGAGAGAGAGCGACCTCTGACCCACAAAGCCTAAAATATCTACTATCTGTCCCTTTATGAAAAAAAATTGCCAGCTTCTGCCATAGAGCAATCTGACGGATAAGTATAATTAGTTTCAAAATAAGTATATGAAATAATATTACTATATTTAAAGCCTACTCTGTATTATTCTGACATAGCGGCTCATTTCAAGCAGCCTAGGTTACAGAATTAGAGAAAAGGATTCTCTAGTTCTCGTCATTCCTTGGTTGGTACTTGAGACATCACGGAGGAAGGATTGAAGAACATGCCCATATGTAGCGTCTTAGCTCCTGATCCCTGGCTTTGAGAAACTGGATGTGTCAGGAAGGATGTATAGTAACTAGCAAAGTAGTTCATCCTAAACCGAGGCTATCATTTAAGGGGCGGGGGACTTGACGCCGTGAGAGAGAGAGTTGGGGAACGGCTGTGATGCACTCATTCCCGAGTTGTAACCTCCGTGTGGCGGGAGCAGCACCTGCCCGGCCGAGCCACGCAACCGGCGGAGGAGAATGTGCAGGAACATGGCTGTCCCCTCCCCCTACTGCTCCCTAATCACGTTGCGCGGCAAGGAGCCCAGGAGGTTCTAAAAGTAAACTTCGGCTTGACATTAAAGTTTAATTAAGACTTGTAGAAGAGCTGCCTAGAAATAGACATTTATACAATATTCTGGCAGGCAACCAAAGCATTAGTCACCGAACACCTTTGGGAAGGCAGCTGGCGCCCAGACAAGCAGCAGCCGGAGAAAGCACCGCATAAACAGCCAGGTTCCAAGACAACAGCAAATTAAAGAGAACACAGTGTTCACATTTCAGCAGCAAGACTCCTGGTTTATTTTCCATTTTTAAGCTATTTTGTCACAGAATCATAATTACGATTCTACTCCCCCACCCCCCAATATACATC